TCGGCTTGGTGGGGAGTTGTGGTTGAAGGAGTTGCCCTTAGGGCGCTCGAGTGCATCCCTCGTACGTTGGCTAAGAACAGCGGTGCTGATGCTACTGACCTGCTGAATAAACTACGTTATAAGCATGCAGAGGGTGGGCCGGTGTAATTTGATGGGAGTTCAAATTGGTGTGGTAGTAGGATTGGTGGGCCGATGGTATGGCGTTGACTGCTATAATTGCGACATTACTGAGACTGTGGAGAACTTCATTTGGGAGTCAGTCGTGGTGAAGCGGAACGCTCTGGCGGCAGCGACTGAGGTATTACGACTTGGTCGAGGGGACTACGTGTTGGTGTGAGTGAATAAATTCTAGTTGGTTTTTTGTATACTTTTACTCGTGATTTTTATACTCATCCTCAGTGAGAAAATGAAATATAAGCACCAACACTGCAGACGGGATGAGTTTTTTTTCACTCTTTAGGCGGCTTGTATGATTCTCAGCATCGATGAGACGGTTACTAACCCGAAGTCTGAACAACCTGTAAGTCGTATCTGCTTCGCTCCGCTGAGGATTATAGTACTTTAGGGCGGCGGCAAAGGAGGCATGCCTATGGGCAAAGGGCGTGGTATGATGGGTGGTAAAGGGATGGGCCGTCGATAGAGACGTGTTGTATTGATGATAAATACCCGAGTGCTATCTATAGTATGCTTTTCTACGAGCTCTTTGCGTATTGTGTAGTATGATGGTTGGTTGTGGAGATGAGTCAGACTCGATTCATACGAGAGTTGAGCTGGTGGTTAGAATATTGGCGGAGCGGGCGGATCTATATACTGCAATTCAGATCATTTGGGGAAGCATCATTTATCGAGAATCGCGGAAAAGTTTGATAAACTCGGCGGAAAAACCAATGGAGTAAATCGACGGCTATAGCTGTCAGAATAATACGAAATTCCCATGCGATGCAATTGTAACAAAGGTTGCAGGGGAAGCATTTTTTGAAGGTAAACTTTTGATCCTGGGATTCGAACCAAGGACCAACTTGGCGTATACACCTCACCACGACGAGTATCATCTTGCGGCTCAGGGAGGTATGTACTTATGCTTTACCTGATATGACCTCCAAGTTTCAAGAAGTTTCCGAAATTTTCGGAAGATTAATACTGTACCTTCATTTTCATTGTACTGGAAATCATGGAGCGCTCAAACAACTCTAGGTTGCATGCCACGACAGTCGGTGTCTCAATCATATACTCTAGCTTTCATCAATCAGTACCCAACGGGTCTAATTGGGTTGTGTTCCTCAGTCTCTTGAATCGACATCGTCAAGTTCAAGGTATTGCGCTCAATCACGTGTGTGGTTATGATGAAAAGAGTGGGCGAATAACGCTATGCGGATGTTGCCGAAGTCGGGGAGGAAGATTCAATTTACAAAGGCGGTCTCAACTTGTGTGCGAAACGGAGTGGATGGGAAACGATTAGCAAAGACGGGACAAGTGGAGGCGACTCTGTGAAGGTTGATATCTGACAGGCGTTACGCTAGAAATTACAATGACCATATCAGAATGACCTCTCAGCGTTGGTCTTCGAAGGGAAGAGGAGTGAGTAACTCCGTATTCATAGAAGCAACCAATATACCGTCATAACCCGTACGACATGACGCCCTTCCCGGAAGTCCTACATGATATGCACTATACCTCAATTCACTATTCACCAATTTACTATCAACTCGACTTGTTAATTTTTGTGTGTGAAATAGATGAAAATGTGCTCATAATGCTCTACAACCTTTCGCAACAGTCTTCAAGGTAGTCATAGCTGAACATAGAGTCGTCCCTCAGTGAGCATGGGGAGGGTAAAAGGAAATAAAATGTTTGATATTAAACGGGATAGCTATTTGATGAAAAGCATTTCCTGATATGTGGGAAGAGGCCAATATTCATCAGATAAAATTTGCTCCAGGGAATCAACAGTAGCCCTCAGATTTTTCATAGCCAATCTCATCTCATCAGCGGCGAACCTCGCATGGACCATCGGATCCTCACTGCTGTGCTTGTGGTCGATCTTAGTCTTCAGAGCACCCAAGGCCTTACCAAATTGCTCTATCAGTTGGCTGACCTCGTTCAACCTAGTATTGGTGAACTCGGGGACCGAACCAGTGGCCAACTTCAGCTTAGCGACGTTGTCGGCGAGATCTGTCTGATACTTGATACACGCCGGCAAAATGACGGTATCTGTTTGAGCGAGATGGTCAGTGAGACCTGCAGTAGCTACCTAACTTACTGGCAATTCTGTACGCGCATCGAGCTTCAACTGCAATACGATTGAAATAGATCTCCAGTAAAATATTCTTCTTCGCAGTGAGCTCAGATCGGCTCATCACTCCGCAGCTCTCGAACAAAGTGATAGCTTCGGGAGTCGCAAACTCGGCGATGGCCTAATAATATAACAACAACACTATCCACCCAATCAATTTGATAAAGCCCCCCCCCGGACCTCACGAGATTTGACGAGATTCTTCAAACCGCGTCTGGCAGCTTCTTCTTTCCAAGCGTCACAATATCCATCACCATTGAATACCACACGTCCATGGTCTCTGTAGACCTCACTGATGATGGCCTTAGCGGCTTC